AAAGAAAACTACAGGCCAATATCACTGATGAACATAGATGCAAAAATCCTCAACAAAATACTAGCAAACAGAATCCAACAGCACATTAAAGGATCATACACCATGATCAAGTGGGGTTTATCCCAGGAATGCAAGGATTCTTCAATATACACAAATCAATCAGTGTGATATACCATATTAACAAACTGAAGGATAAAAAACATTATGATAATCTCAACAGATGCAGAAAAAGCTTTCAACAAAATTCAGCACCCATTTATGATAAAAACTTTCCAGAAAGTAGGTACAGAGGAAACCTACCTCAACATCATAAAGGCCATATGTGACAAACCCAGAGCCAACATCATTCTCAATGGTGAAAAACTGAAACTATTTCCACTAAGATCAGGAACAAGACAAGGTTGCCCACTCTCACCACTCTTATTCAACATAGTTTTGGAAGTTTTAGCCACAGCAATCAGAGAAGAAAAGGAAATAAAAGGAATCCAAATCAGAAAAGAAGAAGTAAAACTGTCACTGTTTGCAGATGACATGATACTATACATAGAGAATCCTAAAGATGCTACCAGAAGACTACTAGAGCTAATCAATGTATTTGGTGGAGTAGCAGGATACAAAATTAATGCCCAGAAATCTCGTGCATTCCTGTACACTAATGATGAAAAATCTGAAAGAATAATTAAGGAAACACTCCCATTTACCATTGCAACAAAAGAATAAAATATCTAGGAATAAACCTACCTAAGGAGACAAAAGGTCTGTACACAGAAAACTATAAGAAACTGATGAAAGAAATTAAAGATGATACCAACAGATGGAGAGATATACCATGTTCTTAGATTGGAAGAATCAACATTGTGAAAATGACTCTACTACCCAAAGCAATCTACAGATTCAATGCAATCACTATCAAACTACCAAGGCATTTTTCACAGAACTAGAACAAAAAAATTCACAATTTGTATGGAAACACAAAAGACCTGAAATAGCCAAAGCAAAACTGGAGAAAGAAAAATGGAACATGAGGAATCAGGCTCCCCGACTCCAGACTATACTACAAAGCTACAGTAATCAAGACAGTATGGTACTGGCACAAAAACAGAAATATAGATCAATGGAACAGGATAGAAAGTCCAGAGATAAACCCATGCACATATGGTCACCTTATCTTTGTTAAAGGAGGCAAAAATACACAACGGAGAAAACACAGCCTCTTCAGTAAGTGGTGCTTGGAAAACTGGACAGCGACATTGAAAAGAATGAAATTAGAACACTTCCTAACACCATACACAAAAATAAACTCAAAATGGATCAAAGACCTAAATGTAATGCCAGACACTATAAAAGTCTTAGAGGAAAACATAGGAAGAACATTCTTTGACATAAATCACAGCAAGATCCTTTTTGACCCACCTCCTAGAGAAATGGAAATGAAAACAAAATAAACAAATGGGACCTAATGAAACATAAAACCTTTTGCACAGCAAAGGAAACCATAAACAAGATGAAAAGACAACCCTCAGAATGGGAGAAAATATTTGCAAATGAAGCAACTGACAAAGGATTAATCTCTAAAATATACAAGCAGTTCATGCAGCTCAATATCAAAAAAACAAACAACCCAATCCAAAAATGGGCAGAAGACCTAAACAGACATTTTTCCAAAGAAGATATGCAGATTGCCAACAAACACATGAAAGGATGCTCAACATCACCAATCATTAGAGAAATGCAAATCAAAACTACAATGAGGTATGACCTCACACCGGTCAGAATGGCCATCATCAAAACATCTACAAAGAATAAATGCTGGAGAGGGTGTGGAGAAAAGGGAACCCTCTTGCACTCTTGGTGTGAATGTAAATTGATACAGCCACTATGGAGAACAGCACGGAGGTTCCTTAAAAAACTAAAAATATGATGAACTGGGTGATTGGGATTGACATGTATACACTGATGTGTATAAAATTGATGACTAACAAGAACCTTCTGTATAAAAAAATAAATAAAATACAAAAATTCAAAAAAAAAAACTAAACTAAAAATAGAACTATCATATGACCCAGAAATCCCATTTCTGGGCATATACCCTGAGAAAACCATAATTTAAAAAGAGTCATGTACCACAATGTTCACTGAAGCTCTATTTACAATAGCTAGGACATGGAAGCAACCTAAGTGTCCATCGACAGATGAATGGATAAAGAAGAAGTGGCACATATATACAATGGAATATTAACTCGGCCATAAAAAGAAACAAAATTGAATTATTTGTAGTGAGGTGGATGGACCTACAGTCTGTCATACAGATTGAAGTAAGTCAGGAAGAGAAAAACAAACACCGTATGTTAACACACTTATGTGGAATCTAAAGAAAAAAAATGGTTATGAAGAACCTAGGGGCAGGACAGAAATAAAGACGCAGATGTAGAGAATGGACCTGGGGACACAGGGAGGGGGAAGGGTAAGCTGGGATGAAGTGAGAGAGGGGCATGGACTTATATATACTACCAAAATAGATAGCTAGTGGGAAGCAGCCACATAGCACAGGGAGATCAGCTCTGTGCTTTGTGAACACCTAGAGGGGTCGGAGAGGGTGGGAGGGAGACACAAGAGGGAGGAGATATGGGGATATATATATATGTATAGCTGATTCACTTTGTTATAAAGCAGAAACTAACACACCATTGTAAAGCAATTATACTCCAATAAAGACGTTAATAAAATAAAATAAAAAAGAAACGAAATTGAGTTATTTGTAGTGAGGTGGATGGACCTAGACTCTGTCATACAGAGTGAAGTAAGTCAGAAAGAGAAAAAGAAATACCATATGCTAACACATATATATAGAATCTAAAAAAAAAAAAAAGGTTCTGATGAACCTAGGGGCAGGACAGGAATAAAGACGCAGACGTGGAGAATGGACTTGAGGATGCTCAAGAGGGACTTCCCCCTTGGAGGGGGAAGGGTAAGCTGGGACGAAGTGAGAGAGTAGCACTGACATATATACACTACCAAATGTAAAACAGATAGCTAGTGGGAAGCAGCTGCATCCCACAGGGAGATCAGCTCTGTGCTTTGTGACCACTTAGAAGCGTGGGATAGGGAGGGTGGGTGGGAGATGCAAGAGAGGGTGGATATGGGATATATGTATACATATCGCTGATTCACTTTGTTATACAGCAGAAACTAACACAACACTGTAAAGCAATTATATTCCAATAAAGATGTTAAAAATAAATGTCTCAAAAGAATAAAAAGAAAAAAAAGAAGATATGGTACATATATACAATGCAATATTACTCAGCCATAAAAAAGAATGAAATAATGCTATTTGCAGCAACATGGATGGACCTAGAGATTATCATACTAAATGAAGTATGTCAGACAGAGAAACAAGTATCATATGATATCACTTATATGTAGAATCTTTAAAAATGATACAAATGAACTTATTTACAAAACAAACTGACTCACAGACTTAGAAAGTTATGGTTACCAAAGCGGAAAGGGTTGGGGGGAGGAATAAATTAGGAGGTTGGGATTAACATAAACACACTTTAATATAAAATAGATAATCAACAAGGACCTACTGTGTAGCACAGGGAACTCAACACTCTGCAATAACCTATATGGGAAAAGATTCTGAAAAAGAATTGATATATGTATAACTAAATCACTTTTCTGTACACCTGAAACTAACACAACATTGTAAGCCAAATATACTCTAATATAAAAAATAAATTTTAAACATTTTTTAAAAGAGAAAAAAAATAAAAAGGGAGCAAAGTATGAAGACTTACCCAACCTGATTTCAAAATTTACTATAAAACTCTAACAATGTAGACAGTTTGGTATTGGTGTAAGAATAGGCATATTGATTAATGGAACAGAATGGAGAATTCAGAAATAGACTCACACATATATTGAGAAGTGATTTTTTTTTTTTTTTTGCCTTGGCAATTGTTTTTCAATAGATTGCCAAGCAATTAGAAGACAGTCATGGTGATGAAAAGTCAATTGTGTTTCTATATCTTAGCAAAAAAACAATTATTTGGCAATTGAAATAAAAATGTTATCCCACACACATGAGAAATATTTATGTATAAGTTAAAATATGAAAGATGAATATACTAAAAATTACAAAATATTATTAACAGAAGTTATGGTCACTTGATTGTCAACAAAGCTGTCAAGGTAATTCAATGGGAAATGGCAGTCTTTGTAACAGATGGTGTTGGAAAAACTTTAACCTTTTTCTCACTTCGCATACAAAATTAACTCAAAGTGAAATGCAGTCCTAAACATAAGAGCAAAAGCTATAAAACTGCAAGAAGAAAAATACAAGGAAATCTTTATGATCTTGAGATAGACAAAGATTTCTTAGCTAGGACATACAAGCATAAATAATAAAACAAAAAATTTGATTAACTGACCTTCAACAAAATTTTAAAGTTTTGTCTTTCAAAGACACTAAAAAGACTTGGAGAATATATCTGCAAATTATTTTTCTGACAAAAATTCGAGAATAAAAATTTCTTTAAAAAAACTTTTAATTTTCTCACTGGGGTAAGAGCAGGTTTTCTGCAACATTGGCTGCATGGGTGGTCAGAATTCAAAACATTCAAGACGTTTTCAAATGATGATATCACCAGGACAGTTCTGTGTATTTTTTTTTTTGAATTACTGTATAATCTGGACTTTGATTAACTTGTCTCAGACCATGCAGGTGGGTATAGTTCGACTCTTGTGGCCTATTTTTAAGGATGTGGCCTATTTTTAAGGATGTCGAGGCTGGATCTTGTTCATGTCACCAACCTCTGGGCTTTGTGTGTGACAGCTCCCCTCTCTTCTTATTGGGATCCTCAATGACTGAGGTTTTTTTCTGAGACAGAGCAAGATAGGTTTCCAAGATCTCCACAACTCCCAAGGTAAAGACTTCACCAGCACCCTTAGCAAGAGCAAGAAGCTCATAGGGTGGGGAAGAAGGGAAAACATACCTTTCAGCCCCTTCTTGGAATTGCCATAAAGTGTCTCGTAGATCTGTAGCTCTGACTGGAGGGACTGGAAAAGCTGCTGTTTCTCCTCACACTGATGCTGCAAAAGGGCCAGCTTATGCTGCAGCCTGTCAGGGGAGAAGCAAGGGTCCGCTGAGCTGGTGGGGCCCCACCAGGGCAAGAGGCTGTGAGCCAACTTCTGCATCATAGAATTCTAGCCCTAGATGTCAACTCAGGGGTCATGAAGACCATCGCTTTTATTTTACAGATGTGGCAACAGAGGCTTGGAAGGTAAAGTAACTGTGCTTGGAGTCATGCCATTAGCTACCATACCTAGGACACACTACCTGGTATTCTTACTGCCCCACATTGCTCTTTTCATGGTGTCAAGCAGTTACAGGGTTTACGCTGGGGACCAGCATCATGGCTGGTGTAGAAGCTTCCTAGGTTATGGTGGGACTAATATCTTAAAACTAACTGGAAGCACGAGAATGTCCTTTCTCCAGAATCTGATATGCTGAAGCCTTCCATAACAGGGTTTTACTCTCTCAACTTTGGAGTGAAAAAGACATTCCCAGAGAAGTCCTTCCTTCTGTTCAAAGTTACCCATAAATCCGGAATAGCGGAGGGGATAGTGAGGTTTCCAAAAACCTCAATGGCAAGACCATTAACCATCTTGCCAATATCCCTTTTGCTAAATCTGAAAATGGGCCACCTTCCTTATCAGTGGGCTCCCTCTAACCTGGAGTCTTTCTCCTGGAGAGATAGTCGTTCCTCCTCGAAATGCAAGATCTCCTGCTGCTTCTCCTTCAAGTCTTCCAGAAGCTGCTGCCGTTCCACCTTTTGGCGCTCCCGCTCCACTTCCAGCTCTTGAAGCCGGGATCGAGAGGTCAGCAGAGCCTCCCTCAGACATTCTGTTTCCTGGGAGTGCTCTGGTGGGCAGAACACAGGAGTACATATATTGTAGGGCCAAAAGTCAGCAGCAAGATGAGCCCAAGCACATCCATCCTGACAAACAGAACTAAAGCAAAAGGAGGGCCAGCTTATGCTACCAGGAGAGACAAAGTGAGGGTATGCTATTATATCCACACACTCAGGGGGGTGGGAACCTCTTTCTTGGCAATGCCCTTTGATCCTCTGAGTTAATACGTCCCACCTTGCTTTTAGAGAAAACACTCTGCTTCCTGATGCTGTTTTCTAAGTCCTCACATACCTTCTGTGCAGTAATCCATTCTTGAATTTTGCCACGGATCAACATCAAAATTTCTTGTCTACAGTTTTTAGTATATATTGTTTTCATCATATTGCAAATAGAGCTATCTGTTCTTTCCTGGTCTTGCAGCATCTCTCTGATCTTCATGATTTCTCAAAGACTATTGACAGAGACTCTGAGAATAAGGCTCCGGTGCTGTCAGTCGGCTGGGGCAGAATCACCTGGGCCTGGCAGACTGAGCTCTTTTAAATCTTACTATCTTCTCACCTGTGAGGTCTGTTCTGATCTTTCCAGGCACGCAATGGTAGTTTAGTAGCTCTGCCTTCTCCCTTATCTTATAATTTTTGTTATCTTCGCAAGCAGGGATCACTCCTCTCACATCTTCTTGCTCTGAGGAGGCTAAGTTAGAAATATCTCTTGATGTCTTTTTCCTTTCCCACAAGCATTCTTTCATTCTGGGCTTAATCCTCTTAGCCACTATTCTTTGTGTGTTATGGCTATTCAATAAATATTTGTAAATAAAAATAATTTGTAATTGAAAGTATATTGATTCCATTTAGTCAATTAACACTAAGGTCAGCTGCCCCACCAGGCCGCACAGGAAATGATGCCCACACGTGGATGCCCACTGAATAGTGTTGGGAAAGCTCTGGAGGACATTTTGCTAGCATCTTCAGACACAGAGTCATGAGGACTAGTGACCAAAGAGGAGCCCTGAGTGTATGAGTAGGAGGTGGTGAGGAGATATGGGGATAGCAGATCAGCATGGGAGGGATACACAGAGCTGCGGCAAAGTCTGGAGAAACCTGAGAGAGTGTATAGGCCTCATGTTCCGTCCTTTCCTAGGTCCAAACTAGCTGTGAGTTGTGGGCAGGTAGAACAGGCACTAACAGGAATCTAGTTTGATAACTAATGACAGTATCTGCAGGGGGGTTGCACAGAGGTGGTGGATTTCCTAGAGCCCTTGTGCTTGGAGCCTAGGAGTCTGAGGGCCCGTGGTTGGGAATTGTCAGGAAGTAGCCCTTTCTAGACTGAGAATAGCTATGGGAGTTTGGGGTTGGTAGGTCTGGGTAGCTCTGTTCTCTCCAGCTTGTCTCTTTGCTTCTCCAGTTGGTGACTGGTGTGGCCAGGGAGGAAAGGGGCCTGGGAGTGACCACCCACCTCTGAAAGCATGACTGAGCTGAGCCTGAAGCCTCTGGTTTTCTTCCCTAAGGACTCTGTTCTCATTGCAGAGCTGAGGTGTGGACTCCAGGCCCGGACTGTAGAAGTTAGAGGTGGGTCCTGTCCCAGGAAGTGCAAGCAGGCAAGTTACACATTTGGGTCATAGGTGCTCTCTGTGTTGCTCATTCTGCATCTCCAAAGATACCATCCCAACCCAGCAGAAAACCCAGAGAACTCGCATCCTGGGCCTAAAGCCTGATGGGCTGAATGCCTGGCTTTCCCGTGGCTCCTCTGAGTGGGCTCTGTGCGTGCATTACCACGTGCCCTGGCTGCAGCTGTTCAGGAGGCCCTTCCCCCTAAATACCTGCCGCTGAGCTGTGGGCAGGACAAGGGCGTGTGGAAGGGACGGCCTCCAAGCGCCAGCAGCCTGGGGGTGGTGGGGGAGGAGGGCCACCTCGGGAAGTGGCTGGAGGAGGCCCTGCAGACCTGGCTCTACCCCTTGCCAATCACAGGGCCAGGACACAGAGGTCAGCAGGCGGATATGAGCACATTAGGCTGGAAGAGAAGTCAGAGGATTCTGGGGACCAGACCTGGTTAGATCTGCCGCGAGGAAAGTTACTCTCTGAGCTCAGATACAGCTGCAACGGGAGCATAGTACTTGCCCCCTGCCTTGCTGGTGTAAGGAGCAAATACAGAAAAGCAGACCTCGGTGCTTTGAAATCTGCGAAGCTCTGCCTAGGGGTTGACCTTCAGCAGCTCCCTAATTACAACCAGAAACAGGAAGCCCTGGGCCTCTCCTACCGCTTCCGCGGGCAGTGGAGCTGAGCCTGTGTTCCAGCTGCTCCCGCAGGCGGTCGTTAATGCAGATGGACTCCTCCAGGCGCTGGCGCAGGTTCCGGATTTCACCAAGGTGCTCCTCTAGCAGGTCAGTCCCTGCAGTCACCCAGCAGGGCAGGAGGAGGTGGGAGATGGAGAATCCTGGTCACTAGTGGGGCCCATATGGGGGGTGTGGGGTTTGGCCAGTGGCCTCTCAGCAAGATCCCTAAACATCACCGGTCTCTCTCACGGGCATCCAAGAGCTCAGGTGACTTTGTTTAAAGAGTAAATTGGCTTCAAACACAGGACAGCTGGTGCTAACCAAGCCCCATGGGCCTCCTCCCATGCAGGGGTACTTGTAAGGGAGTTGTAATTGTACATGTACAGCTACCAGGGTAACTGGTAAGTGTAAGGGGTTTTACATGGTTTAGAAAAATCACTGAAGGCTGTGGATCTCAGTCTAGGACCTAGACAGGGGCCATTTCCTGAGTTGACTTCGAGTATAATAGGGAAGGCCTAACTCTACCCTAATACCTTTCCTCTTACTGACCCTTGACTGAACATTCGTTAGCAAGGGACAAAGCCCTTCCTCCACCCTTAGAGAGAAGGCCTAAGGTAAAAGTTAGTACCTCATGTCAACTCATCCTATGTGATTAATGACTAGTACCCAACGCTTCCCTCAAATTACTTTTAATCTGGAAAAAAGAAACAGTCTGCGCTGATCCAGGGATCTGAAGGCTGATGAGAGAGTTGGAGAAAACACCCTCAAGAAAATAAAAAAGATGCAGAAAAGAGCAGTGGGTGGGGTGCTAATGACCAACTACATCAACTGCCTCATTTTGCTTTGGACGGAGCCTTTTTCTGAAAATCACAATTCTCTTGCTGTTGGACCTGGGCTGCATCCCAGCATTCACCTGTACAGCTATACCTCTCCAGCTGGTAAGATGTCTCTCAGACCTGACCAGGAGAGTTTGGAGGGAGAGGGAGAGTTTGGTTTTGTACACAGGATTTATGTAAGGGGTAGGGATCTGTGTAGAAATAGCGCCACCCTCCCCCCCCTTTCTGTAACAACTCCTGATTGATGGAAGAATGTTCTGTGACTGTTCATGCCTGGCATTCTGGAAGGGTCTGAGAGTGGGCTGCGAGGGGACCAGGATGCAGGGACAGAGAAGAATGAATGTGACAGCACAGACATAGCCGCTGACTTTCTCATACCCTTGCTCAGCACCGAGGCCCTGGGCACAGAGGATAACGGATGCATTTAGGAAGGACTGAGAACTGCTAGGGCCCTTTCCTTTTATCCCCACTCTGTGAGGCAGATACTAGAGGAGAAATGGAAAACACTACCCAGATAGGAAAGGCATGGATCCTAACTGAGATTTCATTTCACTGGCTGACATGCTCGGCTTTGTGCTTTACCTGTGGGTTTGGAGTTAAGCTGGTACATGGGGGAGCCTGAAGATGGTTCCCCAGATATGCTCCCTTTCTGAGGCCTCATCATGTCCCACTGGCCTCTGCTGCCCAAGTACCCAGGCTCGAGGATTCTGCCCAGTTCTGTGGTGCCCCTCAGAGGAGAGAGGGGCTGGGCAGGGCTGAGGTAGTGGGAAGAGCTGGCTTCTAAATGCTTGGTTGGCAATGTGGCTGGGGAAGCAGGATGAACATTGTTGACACCTGGGCAGAATGAAACATGAATGAGAAGCAGTATCGGAACAGAAGGATCGGCAAGGAAGCATGTGATTGCTAAGAACAGACACTAAAGGGGACACGGCTATCAGAGGTCCCAGTCTGCTGGGAAATTCCAATTAGATGAGGATTCCCATCTTAGAGGCTATAACTTTTCACCCCTTGTATTTGCTAGCATGAGACACCAAGAGGTAGGGGATGAATAACGTATCAGAAAGTCACTAGTGTACACAAAAGGGAAGTCCAGTGGCCCTAATTCTGGCTCCTGTGATAATTCCTCATGACAGATTCCGGGGAAGTTCCAGAAGTAGAACTCACTGGGAAAATCAGAGGTTAAGAGTGTGATGGGCCATAGCATTGAGCACACCTGTGAACGGGAATATTTGTGTCCCTATGAGTACTTGCTGTACCCAGAAGCTAACCTGCCAGCTTTTGGGGTTGTCAGAAGAGAAAGGGGGTATAAATCCAGCTAGACGTGGCGGCCCCAGTTACTCCAGAGTGAGGAACTTCTTTGCTGAGGCTGGGGGAGGTTCTAGGTAAGGCAAGAGGTGATTTCATTCTTACCCAACATGATTCCAGGAACTGAAATATGTCATCACTCATGTCTAAAGTCATGAACACTCTTCCATGGGGTAGGGAGGACCTTTCATTTCATAGGCTGGTGCTTTCATAGATCCTATGAAATCATGGGCCTTCCCATTATCTCTGCTTCTGTGTAAAAAGAAGCCCAACTTGGTGGAGAGAGGGAAAGAGGTGAACAGGGCCATAGTTTAGGATATTCACATTCAGAAGACTACTTTCTTCCAGGGATTATCAATATGGGCAGTAGGTAGCTCCACCTAAGAACTTGGAGTGAGGAGTGAAGTCATAGATTAAGTGTTCAGTGGCTTTTATGGCCAAATATGTTGCTAAGGTTTCTTCCAAAATAATGTATTCTTATGCATTTGCTCATTTGCAACTCCAAAGGCCCAAAGCCGTATTTCCCTGTTGCCTTGTGGTCCTTGTCATCATCTTCAGTCAATTTAACCTGCAAATTGAAGGTCTCTATATCATTACATAATCTTAGAGATAGAAATATATGTACAGCTTGTTTACCTGAAAAGACTGCTGTTTCTCTGTGGACCAGTGGAGTTGAGCAGAATTCTTTTGTTCTCAATAAGTCATCTCAGATTTTTTTTTCTAGACAATGATGATTTTTCTATTCATGGTAACATTTTTATAAAGAACATATACTACCTTAGTTGAGTCCTATTGAGAAAATGGTTCCCATTGTACAAAATAAATCATCACTCTCAACTAGCTTTTCCCCACTGAGCAAGTTCTGGCCAAGACTTCAGAGGTTTTTAATAAGCTTGGTAATAATTGCTTAATATATGGTATTAAGGTTATTTTTAATAACACTTCAAATAGATCAGTGCAATGTGACTTTGGGCAAGTCACTTAACTTTTTAGGTTTCAATTATGTCAGTTTAGGAAGAATTTGGTTAACTATTTTTTTCTGCTACAGATACACTTTTGAGTTTCCCCACACAGCAGTGTCATCCCTCAGTTTAAATGGGAGTTGTGATGGAGGTGTGACCCCAACTTTGAAAAGCAATCTGCTCACTCCTTCCTTCACTTAGTCATGAATGCTTAGTGGAGCACTTGGAAATTGTGGACATTGTCACCCTTGTGAAACCACCAGCCTAGCCAACCCCAGCAGAGTTATAGTGCGCACATATCAGGGGAACTCCCCACATTTCAGGCTCACAAACCATGGGATGATGTAAGTTAGAAGATGACTCTCTGTCTTGCCCACATCTCTCTTCCTGACCCCAGCTTCTGTGCCTCTAAACGTTATTGTAACTGTGTGGAATATATCCTTTCCACCCCTGATCATGGCTTATATTTCGCCATGTACATCTGAAACACAACCACAGGTTCCTGGCATGTGCCAATCCAGGTAGATCCAGTACCTGTTGCATAGAAACTGCCCTTGCATCTTCTCTTGTTGAATATACCGGTTGTCCAAAGGCAGATAAAAGTAACATCAGATTTACTACATGTATTCAAGGAGACATATGTGAAATTTTTAAATGCCTTTGACAAGTAGGAAAGAGATACTATGGAATTGTAATGAAATTCATAAGTTACATATAGAGTTTAATTCTCATAGAAACTTAAAAAAAAAAAAACTACAGTCAACAGAAGAGGAAGTAGCGGGATAGGCATGCCAAAACTGACTTCAAGTTATATAAAACCCAATATGTTGCCATGGAGGGAATTTGAATCAACATTATAATGGGATATATCAAGAATAATAAAGTTGGGAGGAATATACCTTTGCTAAATTAACTAGTCATAAGCTTAAGTGAAGTAGAGTATTATTCTCAAATTGTCTCCACGCTCAGAAGTATATGAAAGATTGGTACAGACTAAAAGAAGAATGTGTAAAATTTTACATTTTTCTTTGAGGAAAAGCACCAAGGACAATCCAAATAGAAACAGACTGATGAATGACCTGAATATAGCCCTCAATAAATGAAAGCTACTGGGAAGTATTGCTGCCTTTTTGGTTTTCTCTGTACACACAAGACTGAACAAGGAGAAATTCTCAGATTTTAGAGTGTTTACAAGGATCAGAAATTGCAGGAAGCCAGAAATTGAACGGGGCTGTAGGGAAGGATGGTCTCCTTCATTGGAGGCCTTCAGAGAGGAGATAAAGAGCCTTTACTCTGAGTTATTGAGCCCTGTTCTCTGTGGCCAGCATTCTAAGGTGATGTGGGGTCTGATAAAGCTTCCTGACTTACAAGGTGTATCTCAGGGGGCTGCATTTAAACCAGAAGAATCACAGCCTTCTCATTTCCAGCATAATTCAAAAACACCTTTGTTTTCATTAGAGTTATTCACTGTTGCTTTCTTCTCTTCTCACACACTTTTGGATCCTTCACTTCCACCTCCTGGCTGTACCTCTCTTTGTCCTCCCACCCACAAATGGCTCCAGAGCGCACATGGCTGAGGAAGCAGTTATCTGTATACCATTCCCTAGGGCTGACTCTTCACTTAGGAGCTGCTTGTGCTGCCATATTCAGATACGACCTCTTTGTCACCTGACCTCTTTATATATATATATTTAATTTTAGTATATATTTTTTATAATATTGTGTTTCAGGTGTACAGCAAAGTTGTTCAGTTATACATATATATTTTTACAGATTCTTTTCCTTTATAGGTTATACAAGTTATTGAATATAGTTCCCTGTGCTATACAGTAAAACCTTGTTGTTTATTTTATATATAGTAGTGTATATCTGTTAATCCCAAGCTCCTAATTTATCCCTTTGGTAAATTTATCTCTTATTTCCCCTTTGGTAACCATAAGTTTGTTCCTATGTGAGTCTATTTCTGTTTTGTGAATAAATTCATTTGTATTATTTTTTTAATTCCACATAAGTGATATCATATAATTGTCTTTCTCTGACTTCACTTAGTATGATAATCTCTAGGTTTATCTTTTGCTGCAAATGGCAATATTTCATTCTTTTTTATGACTGACTAATTTCCATTGTGTATATATTATATGTACCACATCTTCTTTATCCATTCATCTGTCGATGGACACTTAGGTTGCTTCTGTGTCTTGTCTATTGTAAATAGTGCTTCCGTGAACATTGGGATGCAGGTATCTTTTCAAATAGGGTTTTTGTCATTTCTGAACATACACCAGGGAGTGGGGTTGCTGGATCATATGGTAACTCTGTTTTACTTTTTTGAGGAACCCATATTGTTTTCCATAGTGGCTGCACCAATTTTCATTCCCACAATCAGTGTAGGGGTCCCTTTTCTTCACACCCTCCCCAGCATTTAATATTTGTAGACTTTTTGATGATGGCCATTCTGACCAGTGTGAGGTGATACCTCATTGTAGTTTTGATTTGCATTTCTCTAATAACTAGCAGTGTTGAACATCTTTTCATGTGCGTTTTGGCTATCTGTATGTCTTCTTTGGAGAAATGTCTATTTAGATCTTCTGCCCATTTTTCCATTGGGTTGTTTGTTTTTTGTGATATTGAGATGCATGAGCTGTTTGTATATTTTGGAGATTAATCCCTTGTCGGTCACATTGTTTGCAAATATTTTCTCCCAGTCCGTAGGTTGTCTTTTCATTCTGTTTATGATTTCCTTTGCTGTGCAAAAGCTTTTAAGTTTCATTAGGTCCCATTTGTTTATTTTTGTCTTTACTTTCACTACTCTAGGAGGTGGATCCAAAAAGATCTTGCTGCAATTTATGTCAAAGAGTGTTCTTCCTATGTTTTCCTCTAAGAGTTTGATAGTATCTGGCCTTACATTTAGATCTTTAATCCGTTTAGGGTTTATTCTTGTGAATGGTGTTACACAGTGTTCTAATATCATCCTTCTACATGTAGCTGTCCAGTTTTCCCAGCACCACTTAATGAAGATACTGTCTTTTCTCCATTGTATATTCTTGCCTTCTTTGTCATAGATTAGTTGATCATAGGTGCTTGGGTTTATCTCTGGACTTTCTATCTTGTTCCAGTGATGTATATTTCTGTTTTTTGCCAGTACCAAACTATTTTGATTATGGTAGCTTATTACAGTAATATTAATCAATAATATTACTGATTATTATAATCTGAAGATGGGGAGCCTGATTCCTCCAGCTTTGTTTTTCTTTCTCAAGATTGCTTTGGCTATTTGGGGTCTTTTGTGTTTCCATACAAATTACAAAAATTTTTGTTCTAATTCTGTGAAAAATGGCATTGGTAATTTGATAGCGATTGCATTGAATCTACAGATTGCTTTGGGTAGTATAGTAATTTTGACAATATTGATTCTTCCAGTCCAAGAACATGGTATATCTTTCGATCTGTTTGTGTCATCTTAGATTTCTTTCATCAGTGTTACAGATTTCAGAATACACGTCTTTTGCCTCCTTAGGTAAGTTTATTCCTAGGTATTTTATTCTTGTTGATGTGATGGTAAATGGAAATTTCTCTTTGTGATCTTTCATTGTTAGTGTATAGAAATGCAAGAGATTCCTGTGTATTAATTTTGTATCCTGAAACTTTACCGAATTCATTGATGAGCTCTAGTAGTTTTCTGGTAGCATCTTTAGGATTTTCTATGTATGGTATCATGTTGTCTGCAAACAATGACACTTTTACTTCTTCTTTTCCAATTTGGATTCCTTTTATTTCTTCTTCTTCTCTGATTGCTGTGGCTAGGACTTCCAAAACTATGTTGAATAGTGGTGAGAGTGGACATCCTTGTCTTGTTCCTGATCTAAGAGGAAATGATTTGTTTTTCACCATTGAAATGAATATAGCTGTGGGTTTGTCATATATGCCCTTTGTTATGTTGAGGTAGGTTCCCTCTATGCCCACTTTCTGGAGAGTTTTTAGTATAAATGGGTATTAAATTTTGTCAGAAGCTT